CACCAACTAGGGCTGTCACCAATACTTTGCTAGGACTGGGGGGAAAAAGTTCTCCAGAAGGGGCCGTGGTTATCCTGTCCAGTACATGGTACTGTTTCTCCCACAACCAGGATTCACAGGTCCAGGAATCGAGGGGTGGAAGTGGAAGTGGCACCACTCACCATCACTCCTAGTGATCCACTAGCAAAGTTTTTGCTTCCTCTCCTGCAACATTATGTTCTGGTGGCCTAGAGGTCTTAATTCCAGAGGGAGGAGTGCTGCCACCAGGAGACACAACAATGATTCCATTACACTGGAAGTTAAGATTGTCACCTGGACACTTTGGGCTCCTCCTCCCTTTAAGTCAACAGGCTCAGAAGGGAGTTACAGTGTTGGTTAAGGTGACTGACCCAGACTATCAAGATGAAATCAGTCTACAACTCCACAACTGAGGTAAGGAAGAGTATGCATGGAATACAGGAGATCCATTAGGGCATCTCTTAGCATTACCATGCCCTGTGATTAAGGTCAATGCGAAACTACAACAGCCAAATCCAGGCAGGACTACAAATGACCTGGACCGTTCAGGAATGAAGGTTTGGGTCACTCCACCAGGAAAAAAAACCATCACCTGCTGAGGTATTTGTGGAAGGCAAAGTTAATACAGAATGGGTAGAAGGTAGTCATCAATACCAGCTATGACCACGTGACCAGCTGCAGAACTGAGGACTGTAACTGCCATGAGTATTTCCTCCTTTGTTTGTTAAAAACATGTTTGTGTATGTATACACTTGTACTAATATCTTCACTTTATATTTCCCTTTCCTTTATCATGTGACATAAGATTTACTGATTTCATAACAGCATTTAAGTATTGTTAACTTTATGTAATAGTATTTGGGTTGGGGATTGGTGTGTTTCTGGTTGTATGAAGGATAGTTTTATTATATTACATGTAATTATGACATTATTGTCTTTTATTTGAAAATTACATATGATCTCAGGAGATGTGTATGGGTTCAAGTTGACAAGGGGTGGGCTTGTAATGTCAACTTGATGGGATTGAAGGATACAATATTGATCCTGGGTGTGTCTGCGAGGGTGTTGCCAAAGGAGATTAACACTTGAGTCACTGGGCTGGGGAAAGCAGACCCACCCTTAACTGGGTAGGCACCATCTAATCAGCCACCAGGGAATACAGAGCAGGCAGAAAAACATGAAGAGGTGAGATGGGCCTAGCCTCCCAGCCTATATCTTTCTCCCATGCTGGATGCTTCCTGCCCTCGAACATCAGACTCCAAGTTCTTCAGTTTGGGGACTCGGATTAGCTCTCCTTGCTTCTCAGCTTGCAGACAGTCTATTGTGGGACCTTGTGATCATGTAAATCAATAATAAATTCCCCTTTGGAGATACATCCTATTAATTTTGTCCCCCTAAGAGAACCCTGACTAAAACAAGTAGTGTGGGGCTCGTGACAAAAACTGATAGCTTTGCTGCCAAAGGGTGGGTCCTGTCGCATGACAGAGCTGTTGTCCACAGCAAATACCAACTCACACTACTAGAATTATAAATTTCACTATTTGAATAACCACTGCTCAATTCAGAATTTAGCAGCTTTTCTGAAGGAACCATAAATAGGAATTCAATGGTTCCTATAGTAGGAACTGGACTTGGTAATCCCAGCCTGTAATCCCAGCACTTCGGGAGGCCAAGGCGGGCGGATCACTTGAAGCCAGGAGATTGAGACCAGCCTGGCCAACACAGTAAAATCCTATCTCTACAAAAAATACAAAATCGTAAAAACTAGCTGGGCGCAAATTTTTATTATTTAGGTGGTACACACTTGTAATCCCAGCTACTCAGGAGGCTGAGGCAGGAAAATCGCTTGAACCCAGGAGGCGGAGGCTGCAGTGAGCCGAGATCATGCCACTGCACTCCAGCCTGCGTAACAGAGCGCGACTCCGTCTTCAAAAAAAAAAACAAGAAACCACAAAAAAAAAAAACAACAAAAAAAACAGTTCCTATAGTAGTATTGGCACACCTGTGACCCATTTATAACAGACGAATGTGGGTGGGAAGCCCTATTCTGTGCTCGTCCAGCCTACTTTACATATAAAGTATTATTGTAACTCCAGATCATGACAGGGAAAATGCTGAGAAATGAGTTCATTAAAGAGCTTTTAAAAGCCTAACAGATTATAATGTCAAAGAATTCCATGAAAAGCAACTATTCAGTTGCTTTTACTATTCAGTTATGCCTTTTTCCTATTCTATCGCTGACAACTATTATTACTAGTTATGCTTTGGGAGCTGTTATGAACCAAAAACTAAAAAGGATGTCTATAACTAGTTTGTTTTTTTGTTTGTTTGTTTGTTTTGAGACAGAGTCTCGCTCTGTCGCCCAGGCTGGAGTGCAGTGGCCGGATCTCAGCTCACTGCAAGCTCCGCCTCCCGGGTTCACGCCATTCTCCTGCCTCAGCCTCCCGAGTAGCTGGGACTACAGGCGCCCACCACCTCGCCTGGCTAGTTTTTTGTATTTTTTAGTAGAGACGGGGTTTCACTGTGTTAGCCAGGATGGTCTCGATCTCCTGACCTCGTGATCCACCTGTCTTGGCCTCTCAAAGTGCTGGGAGTCTATAACTAGTTTTGATAGAGGCAGGAGGCAAACAAATGTCTAGGCAGACAGGGGCGGGTCCTCAGTGAAACCCGAACTTTAATCTGAAAACTGTCCTGGGTAAATCCTCGGATCGGATTGAGAACCTGCCTTCCAGTTTGGCATGACTGATCCCCATCCTTCACCTATTTAACCTGTAACTACCCTTTCCTAATTGGTCCTGCCCAACTTTGAGTGGTGTCTTCGCTTTGACCTTTTTTGCATACTCACAAACCAATCAGCACACACTCCCCATTCTGAATCAATAAAGAGCCCCAGGCTCAGCCATATTGGGGAACTTTCCTGTCTTCGGGTAGTAGAACCACCCACCACGTTCTCTCTTTTTGCTAAGAGCTTTCCTTTCGATTAATAAATTCTACTCCACTCACGTGCCTAATTCGTCCTGCTCGTGAGACAAGAACCTGGACCTAGTTGAGCCAAGGAGCAAAAATCCTTCATCAGCTTCATGGTCAAAGAGAACTTAAAAGGACATCTGTGCCATCCTTAACAACATACCATAAAAGTCCAGTAAATTTAATTTTCCCCAGAAATACATAATGACATTTACATGATACAATCTACTCAAAACTTTTCCTAATATAAGTCACAGGGTAAAAATACAGTCAAAAACACCAATACATTTTAAATATCATTTATCAGAATGCGGATTATCAAAGGGCAGCTTTTATCCATCGTAATCTTTCCCCTACCCAGCCCTCAGCATCCCCACATCCCACACACACACACTCCCAGATGACTTCCTGGGAGCGTGGTTCATGGAATATGAACAGTAGCTAAAATGCAGCCTAAGAGGGTAAAACCGATAGAAAATTACACAGTTTCAAAGTGGGAAGGTCATGAGGCTACAAGCACATCTACCTAGACACTTAGCATCTGTATTTCATCAACAGTTAAGCTATTCTTTACCTGTCACCACATAAATAGAATACGATTTTAAAATACACACACACCCCTACCTTATGGAAAATGATCCTAGAAAGGTAATGCTAGTGTCATTTTTCAAGTTAAAGTACTATTTTTTTTTCCCAGAAATTCCCAGTTTTCAATAAATTAAAGAGATTATCCAATTTTATAGTTATTCCATTCTGAAACATGTATAAGTACAATATACTCTTTAAACGCTCTAGAGATGTTAAATTGGTTCTACGAGTATTCATGTATGAATTTCATCTAACACGGAATCACCTGAAGTTACTATTCAGTTATGCCTTAAATGCTTAGTTACATATTTTTTGGATAAAAGGATATGACACTATTATTTTCAAATCTGGATGTTCAGGAGGATCAAAAAATGAACTCTTGTGAATAAGAAGCATTTACTCTTAAAAAAAAAAAAAACTCTCATTGACCATTTACACTATTCCTCTTCTATCCATACAGAAAATAAAGTTAACTTTAAATAGATTTGTGAGTAAGAGTCAAGAGAATTTGAAAGCTGGGAACAGAAGTTCCTATGCTTTACTGAAGCACCAGTTTAATCTGACACTCACTGTGGCCTTGAATGAGTCACCTTTCAGGGCTGAGTTCTCTAATCTGTAAAATGAGAGTGTTATGTTAAATGTTTACTGAGGTTGACTATTCTATCAGCTACTTGTAATTTGGCTGCATCATTTCAGTTAGCTATAAATAAACCTCCTAAGACCCTCAATGTGAATATGAACTATTATTTCATATATCAGGTATTCTCAATCACAACTGAGTTGAGGTTTATTAAAAAACAAAAGCTTTTTGGCAAAGGGAGGGACTGAAAACAAATTCACCAGTGCATGGTGCCCTGCTTGAGCCAATGTGAGTAGAGCTTAAGAAACTCCACCCAGTTCTGGCTAACATCAAAGGAGACTCAACACCACTCTGCCAGAAAATAAGCCCCGTATCATCTAACCAGGCACCAAGGGAACACACAGTTTTCAAGCACAGCACTTCGTGTATCTGATCTTTCATTCTGACGACATGCCTGAAGTGAAACTATCAGTGAGCATAGTTTTTGAAAATAGGTAAACTAAGGCAAGAGGCAACTACATGGCATGATGATAAAATACTCTCTTAACTACAGTCTCACTATTAAGAGCTAGGTGCTCATAAACAGGAAATAAGAATATAGGATGAGGCCACAGTACTTTCTCTGTTGTATGCTTTACTTTGGATAGTTCACAAACTCTGGAATTAATTACTGTACTAAAAATATTTTACAGGTCTATACAGATTAAACAGTGTTTGTTAATATCTAACTTAATTACACAGAAGTTCTGAAGAACCTTTTAAGTTCCATGAAGTCCTCCTGAAAATTTTAGGTCATTCGCATCTAGAGCCATTCACTTGCCGTCTGTGCTCATTCTGTCTGATGAGAAATTGGCAATCTGGTTTACCAATGGCCTGTTGCTGACTCTGTCCTCTTCTATTTATCCCTTGAAAGGTGCTACTATGAGAGCTAAAATGAAGGGAAAAAAAACTCATGAAAAGCTAGAACAGAGCTTGGGCAACATAGCAAAACCCCATCTCTACAAACACATGCAAAAATTAGCCAGGCATGGTGGCACGTGCCCTGTAGTCCCCGCTACTCAGGAGGCTGAGGTGGGAGGACTGATTGAGCCTAGGAGATTGAGGCTGCGGTGAGCCACTATTTCACCACTGCACTCCGGTGTGAGCAACAGAGTGAAACCCTGACTCAAAAAAAAAAAAAAGCAAGAATAGAAGCCTAACTCCCACCATCATACTCACTTTTCCTAACCACTATAGTACTTTCATTTTACTGTGTCATATTAGCCAAATTTCTACCAACATTCATTTGCAGTAGCCAGCATTCTCTTTTTAAAAGTACAGAATCCTATTTCTTAACTTAAAAGTGGGTAAGAAAATGTACACCCCTGGAAAGACCATTGTTCATCCCAGAGATGGTTCTATTGAAGATGTCTGAATTTTTGGTTCTGGTGTGAAAAAGGAAGAAAAATATTTTGGCAACGTGGGAACTTCCAGGGAATAAAGCAGATATAGACATGGTATCAAAGTAGGGAGAGGGTATACAGGCCCAGGAGCCCTAGGAGGCAAAAGAAAGGGAGTTAATACAATGCCAAAGACAAGCTTGGTATCTTTCGAAATATTGCCTCCTGTCAGTTTCAGCAGAAAGGAAGAAACTTTCTTCTCAGTGACCTGGACTACTTTAGAAACAAAGTTGTAAGTGATAACTTTGTTTCCTTGAGGCAAATCATTTTGAGTTCCAAACAACCCATTTAATACACTTTTAATAATTATTACTAAAGGGAGGATACTGCGTATAATGCTCCCTTATATTTTCTCTATAATCCATAGCCTGTCCTTTTTTGGGTGAGTGGGTGGGTTATGGACAAGACACATAACCGTAAAGATATCTGGGTTAATATTTTATTTTATACGTTTGTTTTTGCATGACATTTAAATGACAGAGAATTCTAAAGTCAACACTAAGCTGCTATCCTAGGACATTAGTGAGAATGCTGTGGCCAAAATACAGTGCTTGTTCCTCAGGCTTGAAAGGAACCCCACGTTGCAGCCAGTGTGGGAGATCATTTATTATCTTGATGGATACAGGTATAGCCTGCTTCATAATAATTTCATATTCAACATCAGATTTTTTTTAGTATGCCTAGCAGGTTTTTAGTTACTAATTAACTTTATTACCCAGATTTGTTTCTTACTGAACTTCTTTCAGAGGCCTGTTACACATCAAGCCGAACTTTGTCTGGCAGTTGTGTTGTTTTTAATTTATTTAACCACAAAATCCTGATTTATACTTTCAAGCAAAATGGTATTTTACTTAAAAATAAATCTTTAGCAAGGATGTCTATAGGAATCAACTACCATCTTACACAGTTTGCAGACTTATGATTCCTCAGACAAATCTGAATTTCTTCTGCTTCTCCTCCAAACAAGACTTGCAGATAGCAACAGACAACTGAGGAAGATCTTGACTATCCTGAGCAATGAACTACAACCCCCCTATAGAATATATTAACTGTACACCCCTAGGTTCCTCCCTACACAGTTCAAGGACAACAGCTGTGCGATTACAAACTGATGGAATTTCCAGGCTTGACAGGGTTCTGTTCATAACCACCATTTGTCCTGTTCATCACAGGATTAGCAACAGCAGAGAGCCCTTGATTACTAGAATAGCTGAGGCCATCACACAGCTACATTCCTACATGAAAGAACACAACGATACAGGTTTAAAGAAGTTACATTTTACTTTCATGTAGTTACCAAAGAGTCCCCCCCACTTCCCCCCATTTAAGGGAGCCCTGTCCTCTGGATATAAAAATACTGTATACACTTGCACACACATATTCACATACATAAAACCTTCCATCACAAAGTTAAAAGGTTACCTTGCTTCCTTACTGGAACTATCCAGGCAGCTTGTGTTCAGTCCTGACTAAATGCACTTTGGATCAGGCACCTGCCTTCAACATTTCTGTTCAAATGAATTTCAATCTATTTCTCCAGGAAGAATAAACCAGATACCTCCCACTGTTAGCCATGTGATACAGGCAGCATGATGTCTGAAGTCTGGTTATGTAGGCCAAAATAAGAAATGACAATGACACAGCATTTACATTTCTGATATCACCATCCTTAAGAATGAATCTTCTATTTTATCTGAATTTTTTAAATGAGTAAAACTTTAAAAGATTCTTCATAATACCTAACACCTCCAAATTTTGAAAAAGGAGCATTTTTTAAAACTTTACATTTATCCCACTTCCTTCCTCTAATTAACACAGAAAAACATTCAAAGTTAATCTATACCAATCCAAAAATTATTTCTAATCACATTCTAAAGGCTTTTTGTTTTGTTTTGTTTTTTTGGAGACAGGGTCTTGGCCTGTTGGCCCAGGCTGGAGAATACAGTGGCATGATCTCGGCTCACTACAACCTCCAACTCCTGGGTTCAAGTGATTCTCCTGCCTCAACCTCCTGAGTAGCTGCGATTGCAGGTGTGCATACCACCATGCCTGGCTAATTTTTGTATTTTCAGTAGAGAGGAGGTTTCATCATGTTGGCCAGACAGGTCTCAAACTACTGGCCTCAAGTGGCCACCTCTTGAGGCCACCTCGGCCTCCCAAAGAGCTGGAATTACAGGTATGAGCCACTGTGCCTGGCTCTAAAGGCTTACACCAGTTCAAATGATCTAGGATCAAATTCCCTCACTTTAACAGATGAAAAAAAATGAGAAATGGAAAAAACAAGCCACTTATAAATGAGGCTGGGACAAAGGATCAGGCTAAAAGAGCCAGAGAACACCAAAAACAGAAAAAGAGCATGACAAAATAAGCAAAACCTTGTAGTTTTGTAGTTTCTGCTTTTATCTAAAACAATGACTTCCCTGTACTTCGAATACTTTTTGAATTATACCACTTATATATACCTTTACCTACCTACTACTTATACCTATTTTTTTCTTCAAGGAGGGAGGCAGGCAGGAAGAATCCTGAACATCAGGAAAACATTCCACCTGATCTTTAAAGGGACCCCAATGCCTAGATGTCTTTTTTTTTTTTTGTAAATCCACACTCTTTCCTGTGATATCAAGGCTGACTGAGAAGACTTAGTCCTATCACCTACCATAGTCATCAGCAGCTTTCCATGTGGGGTCTCCCTACAATTTAGTCACATGGGACCATCTGCATTCTTACATTATCACTGTACACCCTATGCTCATTTGCTCTCCACACTTGAAGTTATCTTCTCTCCCTCCTCATTTGTGAAAGTCTTGAAATCAAGGTCCACATCAATTATCTTACCACCTTTTCTATGACTCCTTTTTAGAATCTTTCTCCTAGTGGTATTCAAACCTAATACATCATCTGTACTTACAACAGTAGAGTCTGATCTATACTGTAGTTCAGTGGTCCCCAAACCTTTTTGGCATCAGGGACAGGTTTCGCGGAAAACAATTTTCCACAGACAGCAGGAGAGGTGAGGGGGAGGAGATGGTTTTGGGATGAAACACCTCAGATCATCAGACATTCTCATAGGATTCTCATAGGAGCATGCAACCTAGATCCATCACATGCTCAGTTCACAAGAGGGTTCACGCTCCTATGAGAATTTAAAGCTGATCTGACAGAAGGCAGAACTCAGGCACACTCATCGCAAAGTTAATGTAATGCTGTTCACCTGCTGTTCACCTCCTGCCGTGCAGCCCAGTTCCTAACTGGCCATGGACTGGTCCTAGTCTGCAAACCGAGTGTTGGGGACCCCCACTGTAGTTAGTTGTATATACCAGCTCCTGTAAACTGCTTGGTCCCAGAAGAGAAGGACCTCATCAAAGTGATGTGCAAACCATCTCTGTTCCTAGTAGATTACACAGGAGACAGGCCAAAATGATAAAAACCAACAAAACAAGGGGCTAAAAACACATTTCTAAAATGACACAATGGAAGTTATTAGAAATTGAATCTAATTTGAAATTAATCAAAAGTTCCAAAATTACAAAACCTCTTCACAACTATAAAAAGAATAAACAGATTCAAGGCTGAAGGGTTATCAACAATTATGAATATTCACCTTGGCCAGGCGCGGTGGCTCATGCCTGTAATCCCAGCACTTTGGGAGGCTGAGGTGGGCGGATTACGAGGTCAAGAGATTGAGACCATCCTGGCCAACAAGGTGAAACCCCTCTCTACTAAAAATACAAAAATTAGCCGGACGTGGTGGTGCACACCTGTAGTCCCAGCTACTTGGGAGGCGAGGCAGGAGAATCTCTTGAACCTGGGAGGTGGAGGTTTCAGTGAACCGAAATCACACCACTGCACTCCAGCCTGGGTGACACAGCAAGACTCTGTCTCAAAAAATAATAAAAAAAAGAATATTCACCTCATTTCGTCCACTTTCTAAATTCAAACTTTCTTGAGTTTGTACAAGAGCAAGCATGTTTTCTGGAATTAAGGAAAGAAAGCCAGTAAGGAGTAACCGTATGAACCAGCTCTCCATGCTAGTCATCTAATCATTATTAGGCGAAGCAACAAAAATAGCTCTCTCTGCTTTTAGAAAAGCATGACATGATGCAATATAGCAAAAACAAATATTCAAGATGGTTGACCAGTTACTGGCCTGGCATGGTGACTCACACCTGTAATCCCAGAACTTTGGGAGGCCAAAGCAGGAAGACCACTTGAGCCCAGGAATTCAAGATTAGCCTGGGCAAGATGGCAAGACACCATCTCTACAAAAAAATTTTTTTTAATTAGCTGGGCTTGGTGGTGTGTGCCTGTAGTGCCAGCCTCTCAGGAGGTTGAGGCGGTAGGATTCCTTGAGCCCAGGAGCTTGAGAATGCAGTGAGCTATGATTACAACACTGTACTCCAGTCTGGGCAAGAAAGTGAGACCACATCTCTGAGAGACAGAGAGAAATACAGAAAGGTATCAGCTACTACCATCATGTTAATGTGATCATATAAATATAAAACTTTTATAATTATTAAAATATTAAATCTCTATAGTTATCAGCTCATATTATCTGTCAGAAAGTAATAAGCATATCATGTAACTTTAGGATGACTTAGTGCTGAGGAGATTGGAAGAAAGGAAGAATACTCATACCTGATCAGCTCTTAGCTTTTGAGAAATATTTTATTAAAGAAAAAATTCTCTTTCGGCTGGGCCTGGTGGTTCATGCCTATAATCCCAGCATTCTGGGAGGCTGAGGCAGGAAAACTGCTTGAGCCCAAGAGTTCAAGACCAGCCTGGGCAACACAGTTGAGACTGCGTCTCCACAGAAAACATTTTAAAATTAGCCTGCACACCTATGGTCCCAGCTACTTGGGAGGCTGAGGTGGGCGGATCACTTGAGCAAGGGAAGTTCAAGGCTGCAGTGAGCTGTGATAGCACCACTGCTCCAGCCTGGGCTACAGAGCGAGTCCCTGTCTTGAAAACAATAGATAACAAAAGAAAAGAAAAACTTATCCCATTAAGCAAAGTGAAGTTTCACTCTATATCAGTCAAAATGAAGAAAAGTGGAAAGTACTTAACAAGCATTTTGTAGTTGTGGCAAAGGCCTTACTTTGACCTAATATCTTACAGATGCTTTCAAAAAGAGGGGGGAATATCATTATTAAATGAAAATTGAACAAGCAAAAATTGAAGAGATCTTTCAAGTTATTAGTAACATAACTTTTAATATTTTACCTGAAATACAAGTAAAAATCTGAGTTAAAAGTTTAAAACACACACACACACACACACACACACACAGAATCAGAATTGTTCAGGGACAGGGTTAAGCAGTATAAGTTTTATTTGTTGATGTTGTTTTGTTTTTGTTTTTTTAAGAGACAAGGTCTCACTATGTTGTCCAGGCTGGAGTGCCTTGGCTAGTCACAGGTATGCTCATTGTGCACTACAGCTTCACGCTCTTGGGCTCAAGCGATCCTCCAGTCTCAGCCTCCTGGGTAGCTGGGACTAGAAGCATGTGCTACTGCACCAAAAATCTCAGTGTTGTTAGTTTTCTTGCAGTAAGGGTAATCATGACACAGAGATACCTCCTTAAAGTTGATTCTGAGAGGCACCCACAATTGAGGGTCACTGAATTAATCAACAATCTACCTAATCCATTCAAGATAAAATTCACTGAAATGAAATACAACACAGGATTAATACAACTTAACACTAGAAAGACATCACATTCCCCCTTGTCAGGAAGGTGTTTTAGAATCAGTTTACTAGATGTAGAATCTGAGGCACGGATTTTTGTGCAAGTGATTTACTAAGGGAGTGCTTTTAGGAGAAACCTATAAGGCCATGAATCTATTAACGTACACCACAATAACAGATTAAGAAACTAAAAGCTCACCTCTCAGAATTAGAAAAGGTTCTGGGAAAAGAAAGACTCAGCAAATTAGGATAGAAGATACATCCTTTATCTGACAAAGGGTAGCTACAAAGAAAAAAAGAAAATCTCCCTCAAATAAATATCATTCCCTTGAGATTGGATAGAAATGAGAATGTACACTATTGCCACTTCTAATCAATATTGTGCAATGAGCCAAGATAAAACATTAAAGGCATGTGCATTGTTTTTAAAAAACCATAAGGATTGGCCGGGCTCGGTGGCTCAAGCCTGTAATCCCAGCACTTTGGGAGGCCGAGACGGACGGATCACGAGGTCAGGAGATCGAGACCATCCTGGCTAACACGGTGAAACCCCGTCTCTACTAAAAAAAATACAAAAAAACTAGCCGGCGGACAACAGAGCACAAGATTCCTGTCTCAAAAAAAAAAAAAAAAAAAACCATTTTTACAATAGCATATTTAAAAATTACCCTAAGAATAATTAATAAAAGGTATCTACGACCTGCTACAACGATACGAAAACAAAAAAATTGGAAAGAAAATTAAAGACTCTAAATAAATGGGCAAGATCACAATCATGTTACTATTCTCCAGACTTGTATTTTAAAGGTATCAACTATGCCCCAAATATATTACAAAATGTGTATAATATTAATAATACACACACATTTTATTTATTTTTATTTATTCTATTTATTTTGAGATGTAGTCTCATCTTTGCTGCCCAGGCCTGGAGTGGCAAGAAGGCAAACAATCATCGGCTCAACTGCAAT